CATCTTATTACACTGGGAAAATGTGCTGGAAAAGACCTCTTTAAAGTGTTACAGAGCAAAGATGTCACTTTGAAGACTAAGGTGTATCTGACCCAAATCATGGTATTTTCAGTAGCCTCATATGCATGTGAAAGCTTCACAATGAATAAGGAAGACCACAGAAGAATCGATGCATTTGTATTGTGGTTCTGGTGAAGAATACTGAAAATACCATGGATTCCCAGAAGAACAAACAAATCTATTTTAAAAGAAGTACAGCTGGAATGCTCCTTAGAAGCAAGAATGGTCAGACTTTATCTCACATATTTTGGTCATGTTGTCAGAAGGGACTGATCCCTGGAGAAGGATATCATGCGTGATAAAGGAGAGGGTCAGTGAAAAATGGGAAGACCCTCAACAAGATGAACTGACACACTGGCTGTGATGATGGGCTCAACCACAGCAAGGACTGTGAGGACAGTGCAGGACCGGGCAGTGTTTTGTTCTCTTGTACACAGTGTCACTATGAGTCGGAGCCAAGTTGATGGCACCTAACATCACTTTTCTACATCCTCCCAATTGTCAATAATGAAAATGTACTGCTTATTGTAGTCAGAAAGAAAGAGGTTTTTTTTTTTTTTTTTTAGTTTTAAAGAGATAGCCAGCTGAAGACATGTCAAGAGAGTGATATAAAGTAGTACCAATACAATGGGATTAGCTTCTTTGTAAGATGGTGAGATCATCTACAAAAGGCAATGAACCAGAGACTTATCAGAAATAAAATATGAAAAGCACCTGCACTGGGCTGAAAGAACAAACTCCTAAAGTTTTCCTCAGCTCAGAGACTCTGTTGGTCTGTTTACAGATTAATGTCAACTCTGTCCTTACTTTGACCAATTTAGAAGGCACTGAAAAGTTTATTTCTTCATTTTCCCAAAACATTTAAAAGCTATCTACTTGTGTAAGGTACTTACTTTGACTTATTATATTCAAATTCTATGTGTAGACAATCTTCAATGCCCACTTCCATCTTAATAGAGTTGTTAACGTCAGGATAGGTGGCAAGCTGGTGAACAATAAGATCATACTCTTTTACCAAGTCTGTCAGTCTTCTTACTATTGTCACTTTAAGAAAATACCTACAATGTAAATGAAGAGGACAATTAATTCTGCTATTATAAATTTAAGTATTTTAAATAAGCAAACAGCACAGTTTTCCTTTTCCTGCTGGAACTCCTTTGGGGGCAACATACAGTGTCATTTACTTTATGAAGGAGTTCTAATTTAAAGAAATAACTCATGGACCATGAAAAAAATACAAAGTTCAATTTTAAGAATTGTGTACACAATTTTCAGATGAGTTTAAAGGGCTCTCATCATTGCTAACTTGAAGGAATCTCTTTAGATCTTTTCTTAATCGTATTCCCAATGAGATTACTAGAACCAAAGATTGAGAAACTAATGAATTTAGAGGGTCATTCACTTTACACTACAAATGAAGTACATTAAGGGATACTTCATACAAGGGAAGTATATTACTAAAACTCACATAACAGGGTTCTCTAAATCTATGACAGAAAACTCTTATTACCTCAGATCAGCATTAGCCAAACAAAACAAAATATTTGACAGAATTTTTTGAAACTTTAAGTCTGCCATTAACATGGTGAAAATGCCAGTACTACCCAAAGTGATCTATAATATAGCACAACCCAATCCAAAATCCAGCACCATTCTTTACTGAAACAGAGAAACAACTTTTGTGTGGAAAGGGGCCCTGAATAACCAAAGCAATACTGAAAAAGAACAAAGTAGGATACCTCACACTTCCTAATCCCAAAACATACTATATAGCCACAGTAATCAAAACAGCCTAGTACTGGTTCAACGACAGACACATAGACCAATGGAAAAGAATTGAAAACACAGAAGTAAATCCATTCATCTATGGGCAGCTGATTTTTGACAGATGTCAAAGTTCATTCAATGGGAAAGAAAGATTATCTTTAATAAACAATACTAGCCAAAATGTCTATCTATTTGCAGAAAAATCAAACAGGATCCATATCTCACACCATACACAAAACCTAACTGAAAATGGCTTAAAGACCTAAATGTTAAAGCTAAAACTATAAAATTCCTGGAAGATAGCATAGGCACAAAACTGTGGGACCTCCTAAAAATTAAATACTTATGCTCATCAAAAGAGTAAAAAGACAACCTACAGACTGGGAAAAAGTCTTCAGGAACAACATATTTAATAAGAGTCTAATCTCCAAACTATATAGAAAATTTCAACAACTTAACAACAAAAAGACAAACAATCCAACTGAAAAAATGGGCAAAGAACATGTGGGCATTTCACCAAAGAGGACATCCAAGCTGCCAACAATCACGTGACAAGATGTTCATGATCATTAGCCATGAGATGCAAATGAAAACTACAAATGAGATCCATCTCACCCCTGCATAAATGACACTGATTTAAAAAGAGAAAATAAAGAAAACAGCAAATGCAGGCAAGGAAGTAGGAAGACTGAAACGGTTATCAACTATTGCTGGAATTGTAAAATGATACAACCACTATGGAAAATAGTATGGCGCCTCCTCAAAAAGCTAAAAATAGAAATACTGTATGATCCAGTAATCCCATTCCTTGGTATATACCCTAGAACTCTAATAAAAGAGACACAAACAGAAACACGCACACCTATGTTCATTGCAGCATTATTCACAATAACAAAAATATGGAAACAATCTAAGTGCCCACCAATGGATGAATGGATACACAAACTGTGGTGCACACATATAACAGAATACTATGCAACCATAAAGAATAATACTGAATCTTTAGAACATCTTATAATGTTAAGGTATTTGGAGGACATTATGCTAAATGAAATGAATCAATCACAAAAGGATATTGTATGATAGCATTTTTATAAGATGATATGACTAGATACATATACAGAGACCAATGCTTATTAGTGGTTGCTAGGGATGAGAGGGGAAAAGCAGGAAGCACACTGAGATAGTACACATTTGTTATTTTTGATGATGGGAAAGGTAGTACCAAATGTGGGTGAAGGGCACACAGCCTAACCAAAGTAAATGGTATCACTAAGAAGTGCACAAGAGAAAAGGATGCTTTTGGTAAAGGGTATGACAAAACGGTATGGGAGCTCTGGTAGCACAGTGCCTAAGGCACTTGACTGTGAACCAGAAGGCTGGCAGTTCAAATCCACCAGCCACTCCTTGGAAGGAAGATGGGGCAATCTACTTCCATAGTGATACTGCCTCAGAAACCCAAGGAGGGGTTGCTTTGAGTCGGGTCTGACTCGACGGCACATAACAACAACAACAACAGAAATGGTATAACCAGAATGGAATATATTCATGTAATATAATATTCATGTATGGATATGAATATGTGGGCACTCGTGTGCACAGAAAGATAGCTATAGGCGTATGTAAACACAGGTATATGAATGCATACACACACACACACACACACACATATATATATTATACGCATACGTATATAATGTAAACCACATAGGAAACACATTTATGGACACTTTTTAAACATAACCAAATACCTCATGAATTTGGTTTTCTGCATTTGAAGGCTTAGGACCATGGTCTTGTGGGACAACTCGTTAACTGGCATAATACAGTTCATAAAGTGTATGTTCTACATCCTAATGGAGTGAGTAGTGCCTTGGGTTCTAAAAATCTGCAAGTAATCATCTAAGATAAAACTATTGGTATATTCATCAGAAATAAAAGAGAAAGAAGGAGACCAAAGACTCAGAAAGAAAGTAGTCTAGTCTAAACAAACCATAGCCTCATGTATTTTGAGACCAGAAGAACTAGATGGTGCCTGGCTACTACTACCAAACACTCTGATCAGGGCCACAAAAGATGGATCCTGATAAAAAAGGGAAAAAATGTGGAACAGAACTCAAATGCTCAGGAAGTCCAGACTTACTGGACTAGTTGAGACTGGAAGACTCCTAGAGACTACTGCCCCGAGATACTTTTTAAACTTTAAATTGAAATTATCCCTTGAGGTGACCTGTTAGCTAAATAACAGATTGGCTCATAAAATAAAGAATATCACCAGTGAGTAATGAGTTCCTTTAAAAAAACCATTTATATGGGACCAAAAGGCCAAAAATTTTCTAAAGCAAAGATGGAAGGTAAGGAGGCAGGGAAACTACAGTACTAGAAATGGTATAACTAGAATGGAATAAATGAGAATGATGACATATTGTGAAAACTGTAACTAAATCACTGAATAATTTGCATGTTGTTGTTGTTATGTACTGTCAAGTCAGACCTGACTCACGGCGACCCCTCCCTGGGTTTCCAAGGCAGTATCACTATGGAAGTGGATGGCCCAACCTTCCTTCCGAGGAGTGGCTGGTGGGTTTGAATCTCCAGCCTTCTGGTTAGCAGTCAAATGCCTTAGAAACTGTTAAATGGGAATTTGCTGTGTGAATTTTCACCTTAAACACAGTATTATTTAAGTCTGCCAATTCAGAATCATAGTTGGGAATCCTAATAAGACATTCTGTAGTAGCCATTACTTTTTGGTTTTGACTTTTTACAGTTTCTAATTTATATACATACCTCAAGCGGACATTGGCACCAATATAAGATTCATACGGCTTTTCAACTTGCATAAATTCAAAATCATAACTTCTGCTCTGAGTCAGTTCTCCAGGTAAGGCCAGTTCTTTCACTAGGTTTACAAATTCGTGAGTATTACTCTTATCATTGAAAAGTTCTAATGAATTAAGAAGAGTAAAAAGACCAATTACATTTCTCATTTTGACAAAACCCAAACTTCTATCTCCAAAACAAATAATCTTTACCAACAGAATTAGTTGGAGTTTCCTCTACTTCAATAAACTAGAAGTGCAATCTGAATTCCATTATTCTCATTTCACTCCACCTATACATAAAAAATTCAAGTGGTACAGTATAATGAAAATTTCTATTATACATAAAATTAGTTCATATCTTTTATATGAACTAATTTTAGGATTCTCCGGCTATGAAGCTGTTTTGACATATTGCTAACAGTTATTTTAACTTTCTGTCTTCAACGCAAACTCTGTTTGTCGTTTTGTTTCAGGCAGATATATTACCTTGATAAAACTACAATACACAAAAAACTGAAACTCATTACATTTCATTACAATAATTTGTCCTTCAAATTCAGTCTCATCAAGAACAGACATAAAAATAAATATTCACCAATTCCAATTTTAATACTTCAAAAATGTACAGTAAAACTTAGGAAGCAAAAAATTAAAACCTAGCTATGGAGACTGTTAAAAAGATATACTTTCTTTTCTCTCTTTTCTGAATCTGTAGTACCGAAAGATTTATATACAGTTTAACTCCCTGCTACATACATTAAGACCTCTCAAATACATGTATGGAAATGTACATAAGAAGAAATTACCCCTTTCCTTTCTACATAGAATATTCTGTTAACAGGTCAATCTGGGTACAGGCACATTCTCAGTCAGAAGGCAAACAGCATGACTAATTAGAAAGGGAAGGATGAAGGTGAAGCTGGTAACTATGAGTAAGGCTGGTGAAAAATGTAGGCAGATGGAAATTTCAGTGAGTCAATTATACTTGAATTGTTTTTCCAGGCTGCTAGTTTACCTAACACCCTTCATTTTTAGTAATTAAGTCCAGGAACAAAGCAGGGTAAATCAAACATTATTTAATGCCAAATGATTTCATATATTTATAAAATAAATCTTCTCTTTCATTATGCAAAATCAATTCTTTCCTTTCATAAAGCTAAGTTCTAATTCAATTACCTGAGGGCCAAATCCAACCTTTTTCACATTAAGTTATCAAAGATTGAAAGAAAAAAAAAAAAGAAATACTTTTTAAAACTCACCAATTTGACCTACAAATTCAATTCTAATTCCTTGGTGCTCTAGTCTCTTTCCAGGCTGCTTAAAGGCTAAGTTTACCTGCCAAAACACGAAATTTTAAGAGATGTTAACAATCCTTTGAGTAGGCCTACTAACAGATAACTTCCAGGTGAATACAATGTATAAGTATTTCAGTTTTTCATTTCTAAAGTTGAGACACCACCACATACCTAGATTAGGATGACCTGACCCAGAGAAAACACAATTTTTTCATACATAATCATTAATGAAACTATTACTTACACATATACTTAAAGTATCTACTTTGTTAGAAAGGAATCCTTCTTTATAGTTGGAAAAATACATAGACTCAAAAAGGAAAGGAAAACTTTTACCTATTCAGAGTGTCCTCTGGTCAAAAACAATTTTATGTCTCATAATAGCATTTTAATGTAAGGTAATCACTAATTCTAAGAAGTGACCTAAAAGATCACTACAGCTTTTTGTAACCAAGAATACATTGTTAGATTTTAAACCCTAACCTTAGAAGCAATGTATATTGCCAAGTCTGTCATTCATCCTAAAAACAGAATGTCTAAAGATTTAAATTCTGAGTATGATTTATGTTATACACTTCTAAAGAAAAATATGGGGGAGTTCTGGCAAGATGGCGGACTAGGCAGAAGGATTGCACAGACCCTCTTCAACAAAGAAAAGGGAAACCAATTAACACAGACACAGAAGA